GTGAGACAGTGAGACAGTTGAGACAGTGAGACAGTTGAGACAGTTGAGACAGTGAGACAGTGAGACAGTTGAGACAGTGAGACAGTTGAGACAGTGAGTGCCATCAGGGATGCTGGCAATCCAGGAACTGGCTATTTGAAAGATATTAAACAGCAATTTTCTAAGTCACCTTGTGTTTATATTCCTGCATTATTTAGTGTTCAATAGATAGTGAGACATCCCTTTGCCTCTAAAGTTCACATTGCATCTCTGATAACCTTCAGACGTGTCTTTGTTGCAGCAGATAGCCAAGTTACACATAACTTTTGCTTTTGGTGTAACGAAGATGACAGAGTCTCTTAAAATGCTTAAAATGAAATCCATGCGGCAAAGATTGCACAACACACTGAGTTTGGTATGCACTCCGTACGTCTGTCATTAATACATTTGTGAAAGTTTGCTTCCACTAAAGTGAGGTGGACCTAGCCAGTCCAGGACATTTGAAACATTTCAATGTTTTGATTAAATTAACAAAAGTCAAAAGAATTTTCTAATGTAGACAAGTTATTCTGAGTGGCTTAAAATTAGTAATTTTTGGTCAACTTTTGATCAGCTTTTCCTTTGAGGCAAATGTAGCTATTTACCTGATTTTCTGGCATGATTTACTGGGTCACTGTGGACTGTCAGCATCCTCTGTAGGGAGCCATACGTCCCATAGATGAGGGCAACTTCTGCAACTTCCCCATGTGTCATCATTTGGGTGTCTTGCTATTACGGCTAATGAGATGAACCTTAAACCCCAGGCGGAGCTGATCTGATGGATCATGAGATTTCATCTGCACAAGAGGACTGAGGATTTGGATTTATGATACTCTACCAGAGATGCCTACTGTGACACTAGAGAGCAGAGTGGCTTGTAGGTGTGGTCTTCACAGATTCCCTCTTGGGTTGACGGCTCACAGGAGACTGTACACACACTGAAAGGCAGTGAGTTCTCCAGTACACTTCCTCACTGGCTTTGGAAACGAGGGTCAGCTTTGCACTTCTCCCTGACATTCCTCACCCACAGTCTATTTGAGAAGGGCCACCTTTGAACTGTCTTGGGCAAAGAAGAGCCACCACAGGCATGAAGGAACGGAGGGACCTAAGGAGGGACGAAGGAACCGAGGCCCAGCCCTCCTCATTCCACAGAAAACGACCCTTTATTCATCACCTCAAATTATGGAGATATTACTACACACCTGACAGCCACTGATAGCCAAAAACTGGTTCTTCACAGTTCATCAGCCCCCATCAAATCACATTATTATAACATTACCATAACATTATTACTGGCTAATTCCGTCCGTGCATCTTGATCGTTCCCCACAAGAGATATGGCATCTTTCCAAAGATTGTTTTTCTTGGAATCAGTGTTTTTTTGCATGTTATTGTAACCCCCTCAGTTGCAATGACTGAGGGGTCACATACTAGCAGGAACTAAAACAACGCGGTAATATGTCCCTGTTATTCTTCTATGCTAAGCCCCTGGACCCTCAAAAACCAAAGCATCTATTTATTCACTGTTCACCAGTAGCAGCAAATGCAGAAAGCTTGTGGCCTCTTAATCCCGTTCTTCCTGGCAGCTGTCCACATCAGTGCGTCATTAGCATGTAGACATGTAGACATCCTCTTACCGTTAGTGTGGTGCTGCACCACAGCCCTGTAAATGCCCCATGCTGAACACTAGCCCTGCTAGACGGGTTGTCCTCTGCATTTGACCCATTCCGCACGCAGCTCCTGCACATTCTGATCATTCTCAGGGGCTGACCTACGCTGTACCTGGCTTCCACGCTTGGATAAAGACACCTGCAAAGATAAACAGATAAATACTAAATTAATAATAATGGCGAATGGATATATCTTAATTGTCCGGGCAGATGTCAGGATTGCTAATACTGCAAACTTTGATCCATGACTAAAATATAACTTGCCGGTAGCAGATGTTTGGCAGCAGTAATCTTGTGGAGGGCGTTGGACCTGTAACGGCTGTGTGTGTAAATACTAACATTGCAACCAACGTTGATCCAACGCATCTGATACTATCCATCCCAGTTCCAAGAGAAGGCTGGTCGGGATTGGTCTACGAACCTTGGCGGTCCTGTCTATCAGCATTATCACGTGACTCCTGCGAACAGATGTGTTTCCGTCTTTCTTGTATCACTTTTTTAGTCTTAGTATTAGCAGAAAAAGTGACTAAAAGTATCGGGGATGACGGCATGGCCACTCACCTGCATGGCTCGTCACCGGTAGACCCAGCCCTGGTGGAGATGGACTGACACGGAACACCCACTGTCTTCCTGAGAGGTGAGACGTGAGAAGTTCGTGGGAACACCTGCAATCTTAATTTAGGGGCTAGAAAAAATGGGCTTCAAATATAATAGCAATAGAATCATAATTAGGATCACACTATGATTCAGAAAAAAATATATACAGTGACGTGATAAAGTACATCCCCTGTATTTTTTTACCCTATTTTTACTTATCCATAACACTAATCTGATCTCCAAAGAAATTTAGTATAATGCAAAGAACAACTACAGTAAACACAATACTCAGTTTTAAACGATCATTTGATTCACCGAAGGAAAATAATTCACCGTAATACTTTTTCATGACACTGCATGTGTGTGTGTGTGTGTGTGTGTGTGTAACACATATATAACCTCAATTTTATAAAAATCTGTGAATGCAATTAAAAAACCAAAACAATAACAACAACAGCAATAATAATAATAATAATAATAATAATAATAATA